GCTTAACCAGCTTGGAATATTTTATGAAGTGATATTACGCCTCTATCGAGACTTAGACCTTGTACTTTGTGAATAGTAACTGCATGGGCGAGACGTAATGGGAACTGGCGTCTAACATCGCCCTTATAGTTAACATGAGGGCTTTCGTATCTCTCAATACCAATACTACCACGTGGTACATTTGGCGGAAGTGGAACTGTCTTCATTTATTTAAGGCTTTAAATGAAAATATGTTTATTTGTTGTTAACAATTTATCTAAGACAGATATAAGATTGTAAAAAATATTTCATTTAAAGCATGTAATTCTCACCTAAGCATATTTAAATGGCTGTAGACAATGATTACCCTATGCAATTCATATTCCTTCAAACACGAGGGCGAGTCAATAAATAACCATAATTTATTTATGACCTATAATAATCTTAGCAGAAGATAAAATTGCTAAGGATTAGCGCAGTCGGAAGCCAGTTGAATTGGTGCCTGCTAGGCGATTAAGTGCTGTGGGTTAGAATCCCGCTCTGTATTCTGATTCCACGGTCAGTGTTTGCTAGAGACAGCCCGATGTTTGCTTTTATTCCCTCAGTCTAAATAACACCAATACGTCTCAATAAATACACCCTAACATCTATTGCTCTGTGACCTAGGCCAGTGCTTTCATTATTGTAAGTGAAAATTGAAAAAAAATTGAAAAAAGGTTTTTTTTTTAGTGTTAAAAGATTACATAATCAGATTAATCTGTTTATGACCCAAACTACTTCACACCTGCATGTCAAAAGTTCATATGGATAGCTTTCCTATCATATTATGTAACCTGTTATAACACCTGTCAATCATTTTAATCCACACAATCTACAGATTTTTATCACATGTTTTTATAAACATTTAACACTTTTATGCCTATTTTCACAATTTCAATTTTGTATTAAACCACCCATGTCACATATCGTTGAAAAGAGAAAATTGAGTAGATCCTGAATATACAAACCATATTGCTAGGAGTTAATTAAGTAAGTTAGAACTCTCAGTCGAAAAAAATCATAAACATAATTTAATGGATTATTATCATATCTCATTGAAAAGATAATCAAAAGGGAATTACAAAATTGAAAATAATAATTTTCTGTGTTTATTAGAAAAGGTCATACAGCCGTCCAAAGTTGTCAAAAATGTTAATTTTTGAATGGCTATTTAACCGGAAGTTAATATTTTTCAACCAATATGAGTACACCTGTGGATAGCTGAGGTCAAGAACATCCTTCAGTGAAATTTTCAAGGTCATCGAAGGTCAAGGTCACATGGTGTGGCCTTTAGATTTTTCAAAAAATTCAAACGAATATAAAAAAAATTTAAATTCGAAATTCAAAATTCTGTTCCAACAAACTGTAGACAAGGTTACAAGGTTTAATAGACACCAAAATCATAAAAATCGGATAAAAAATGGAGGACAAATTAATTTTTTGCTAAAATGGGTCAGTCCGAGACGACGGCTTATGCATCACTTCCGGTCTGGATTTTTTCTGCAAAGTGAATTCTAATTATGACTGACAGACAAAATATATGGTTTTTGCCAACATCTGAAATTTACACCGGAAGTGGGGGTGCCAGGCGTGATTTTAAAAACCGGAAGTTCTCACGAAAAACCGGAAGTGATACAAAAATTTTGATTGTATAAATTTATTTGTATAGACATTCTGTATATGTCCTGTGAATTTCAGATCAATCGGATAATTAGCGACTGAGTTAGAAATTTTGAGCTTTTTTGAAAATTTTGGATTCAAATTTTTTTGACAAAAATATTTAAAAATTGAATTTTTTTTAGCCTCACCAGATAGGCTTATAACAATGAACATAGTAAAGAAAATTTTAGGTAAATCGGTTCATAAATAAGCCCTACAGACTTGATGTAGTTATGTTTATAGAGGATTTTCAAATTCAAAATGTTACTGATGCGGTCAAACTACCCTGATTCGGTTTCTAATAAGGCCACTACTCATGCAGACGTTTATTTCCCGCTTCAATGTGTATACCCTTCGTATGGTATGTTAACCTTTCGAATTTAAAGGGACAGATGTTAAGCCATTATAAGCGGTTGATTTTAGTCTTAAATATATGTAAATAGTCTTCAGAAATACTAGAAATGTACGAAAATCACATAATTCCTTTAAAAATACTTCAAACTACGAATTTTACTCACTATTTCTATATATGTCTTTTATCACAGAGTATCTTAAATTGACGAGTCGTCATTTTAACAATATTAATAATTCTGGACTCACATGGATTTGAATCGACGGTGAGCTGTGAACAATATTACTGATTAGCTCAGTTAAAAAATCCTGTTTCTACGACTAAAATACTATGGGCCAATCCCTTTAAGTATTTACTGAGAAATATACTTCGTGATATAGCATATTGATATTTATCTATGATATAAGTATTCATCTATTTACTTTTGTAAACATACATACACATTTAATTATTTTAAGTTAAATCGACTTAAAGCCAGATTCTCAATCTATTACCAATAATGCGAACGGACGCTTTGTCCTCATGGTGATATTGCCGCAGTAGGCTTCCATAAAAAATACATGCCATAGGAAAAGATTTCCTGTAACGACGATCCTGAACCATACACAGTACCTTTATGCAATGACTTAAAAAAGTTAAAGCCAAATAGGAGGATACAAAACTCCATTTCTCGAATCACCAGCTGTAACACTAACATTGCAGAAACATAAAAATATAGCAATGAATGATTGATATGTTTTATTGGCAATTAATGTAATGGTATATATATTCTCTACGGAACTATTTTCTACAGTACTACAGTACTCAAACTCATTAGGAAAATGAAGATTCTGTTGCTGAATTGTTTGTTATGTCCGGCGCTTCTAGTCCAGGCTACTGGTAAGTAAAAAAAAACAAAGCACTATTTTCGCTTCATACTGTTTTCGATTCGTCACGATAAATATGGCAAGTCAAGCTGGAAATCTGTATGCTAATGTGGAAGTATGTGCTTTAATCATTTTGGATGAAACTTGATCAGCTTCAAGTTTATCTAAATTTTACAGAAAAAAGGAAGTATTCTAGCTGACAACGCTCGCTATCAGGAGGAAAATGGAACTCAATTTCTCTATATTCTGATGTTTCTTAAAAATAATCTTAACTTGATATGCATAATAATGTATGTGGGGACTGGGAAGATTTCTTTATTTCTAATTTTTCAATGAACGGCTTTGATTTGTCCAGATGACAGCTATGGCTGATAGATATTTACATTTAATTGCACTACAATTTTCAAGTCAAGTCTCAAATCATTTTTTTGTCAAACACATCAAACATAAAACAGTGAAAAATGGCCTGGTAAAGGATTTGGATGAAACCGGGTATAAGACCGAAACATCTGTCTCTATTCCAGCCTCTGATAGCTGATAGGTGTCAGAACAGAAAAAATAGGCCCTGTTAAATGGGACACGCATCTCCGCATGTGTGTGGGTTTTAAACTTATTTAGATACTTCGGATCTGCAAAACCCATTATATTTGGACATTATATTTGGAGAGATGAATATTTTTGTAGCTCAATCATACCATCATTTCTTCCCTACACTATTTATGTCAATTGTCCGGTTCTATCAAAGTTTTTTTGGCGAAACTGATCTAGCATCGGCCATTTAAAACTGCGTGCGAAAAAGCCAAAAGGTCACAAAGTCAAGTGCTCCTAACAAAACGGAATTTAGGGTGATGTCCAAAACAAATTTACAATCATCTTAAAGGTAATTCAATAGTATCTTTGAAAATCCCCATTTAACATGGTCTTTTTGTTCTGACACCATAGGCTGTAACAGAGGCAGATGTTTCGGACTAACCGGGTATGTATTGTATGTATGGGTATATTGGAGATTTGATTCTCGTGATTTATGAATTGTTCTGTTTTTACTCAAAAAGCGATAAAGTCACCAGTTTTGGGAATGTAAATCATTTGTTTATTGTCCTCATTATCCCTCGTTGTCCAATTCTACATCAAAAGTGTTTTGATAGAAAATAATGTACATAATTTTTATACGCCCATATTATAATGTGGTCGTTTATTGCCGTCGCCCCTGTCCGCCCGTTACTCTGTCGGTCTGGTCCGTCCGTTCGCCCACAATTGACTTGTGAACACAATAGAGACTGCAGTTTTTATCAGATTTTTTTTATTTATTAGATATCATTTACTTTATACCACTTAACTGACATGAGGACTGGTGTCTATAAAATGTCGAAATCAGAACTATTCTTATCAATGGTAGGCCTATTGGTATATAAAATGCAGTCACCGACAAACTTCACTCACAAGTATATCTTATATATAATATATATATAATTTTATATATCCATAACGCTCTACAACCTTTTTTTAATTGTATCATTTTAGATCAATTAAATTGTAACCTTGTTTTCGAAGACTTCAATCACACATCAGTCATTCAAAGTATTTATAGTGGAAGATTCTACCTAGTTGTTACTGGAATAACAAACAAAAAACGGCTTTATGTGTCCTTAACAGGATCTCTTTTCTATCTCTTTCCTGTTGGGACCATTATTCTTCTTATATTTTCATATTATGAAGAATATGGATTTTCATTTCATATATTCAAAATATATCATATTATTCAAATAGCTGCGAAACAATACTCTCTCACTAGAGTTTAAGCCTGCATGCCTGTGCCTATCTAAATTCCTTAATGCTTTTGACCATTGGAGCCCCAAAGTTAACTTTAACTACACAATATTGTTTTGAGAATATCATAACTTTGCATCTTAATCATTGTAGAATCCGATAAATCGATTGTAACTTAACAAGCATTATTCAACAAAATTATTCGCGGGGGAGGGACCCCAACTCATTCTAAAATTTTGAAGGGTTGAGATGCCGGACAAAGCAATGCATTTCTGTAGCTGGGTCTGGACCCAGTCAAACACAAGACATGGTACATGACATAGTATGTAACTAATTTATTACTGCAAGAAGTTCAACCCGTGTTCTAATTCTACATCTTTAACCGCTTTCCTATTCCCCTTTGGATAGAGAAGTTTGATATCTGCCATAGTTTGTGGAAGTTGTTTTTCTTTAGTTTCTGGTAACCATATCACTAGAAAAGCTGATACTAAACAGAAAATACTAAATATCGCTCCGGGTCCCCATGGAATATGCTGGATCTAAAATTAAATTTGTAATAATGAAGTGGATTTTGAATTTTGCAGAGCTGTGTAATCAGAATGTTGAAAATTAACATAAATTACCATTAGCCTGGAAAACGGTGCTATCATACCACCAGTTCTAGCTGCAACTGACGCCGAGCCAAGACCAACGTTCCTAAAGTAGAAAACAATTTTAATTTAATGATAACAATTTCAAGCATTAGTACAAATTGTGGGAGTATCAATATTGCTATAGCTGCAAATGAGATGATTAATTTTTTATTTATTTTTTTGGCATATTGTTGTCAGAGTACCTAGCAAAAACTGTAATACTAACATTATGTTTGGCACGGGATAGACATTCAAGACCGCGGAATTACCTTTTAAATACATTTCCAGACATCAGACTCCAGAAATAAGAAATGATGTAGCGGAAAAATCCTTAATTTCAGTAATCCGCCATTAAATGCTGATTTTTTGTTCAATTTGCCACATTTTTTAGAAATTCCATGCAGTCTGCTGTTTCAGAAAATCCTGATTCTAAAATGTTATCACTAACTTTTTGTACAAATTTAATGCAGACTACATTTTATCCGATTGTTCGCCTTTCGACTTTTTTTTCTACCAGGCCACATTTCAAGTAATAATTACTTTTGACCACGAGCTTCCACAACCCCTGTCTTTCTACTTCAGCATCTCCTTAAATTAGATTGTCTTTTGTGATCCTGATTTTTTTATTTCATAATTATATAAAATAATATGCATCATCAAATTTGAGAAAAAATTTGTAAAAAATACCATTAATAAGTTAAAAATATTACGTAACATGTCAGTCAGCAGTTCATAGAGGGTTAATGTGAAATTCTTGTTGAGGACTCTGGTGTAAGTTCTAATTAACGTAGCAGACAAATTCGAACAGAATCAAAATTTGCAAATTCACAGCTTTAAAACAATATATTTCTTTTTTTTCAAAACTGTAGTTTTCGACTGATGAACTATTGACATTTAAGAAATAAATTTTAAGCAGTTATGCCCCTTGAACTTTTTAAATTGGTCATCAAGTCACTAATTTTTCGTGGGTGCGTTCCTATACAAGCCAGTTCTGAACTATACGTACGCATCGGATAAATAACGTCGATTTAACATGGCAGTCTATAGAATGCGATGGAAAAAGCACTGGCGGAGCCAAAGGGGGGTAGAGGGACGTTAACCTGTCTCCGCCACTGGGAAAGGGGATAAAACATAAACGGTTAACTTCATTGACAGTGATCAATTTAAAATTTTGTCGAAAGCAAGTTTTCTCAGTTCACGGTCTATTTCACGAGTCTTCTAGACAGCTGATACCACTTTTCATAATAAAATACTTAATCACTTATGATTGATATACTTCCTCATGTGAAAAGTTGATTTGCTGCTACCAAAGTTTCGCCAACATTTTGTTTTGGATTTCCGGTTTCATTTTCTGGTTCGGATCTATGTACTTGTTCCAGTTTCCTTACCTTACATTGGTCGGGAAGAGTTCTGGTGTGTAGAAGAAACAGACTGAAAATGCCCCTTCCGCCCCGATTTTTTCCAAAAAGATTAAATTCTGTTATCAACACAGAAGACATATGACCCGCTGTAACAGAAACAAAGAAAGAGATGACAACAATAAGCTGTATGTCATTAGATTATTCCTAGGACTGTTAAATGCAATTTCAATTACAAAACTATAATATGTCAATTGCTGGTCGGAAAATATTGTCTTTCATTGACCTTTTTGTATTTATACTAACAAGTGGTTGTGTTGATAATCGTTGCTAGCAACAGAAAAATACCACCAAATAAATAAAACGTAACTCCTGTTTTCTTTCTACCAAATCTGAAACATCGAATACATTTTCTGGTTTTGTTACTTCATCCGGACCACAGTTAGTCGACATAACACCAAACACACTCATATGTAGCTTTTAACGACCATATACGTTTTGGTTGGGGCTGGGGGATTGATGTCTACCATTCTTGAAAGGCAATATTACTCCGTTGAGAGCGTTATGGTAATAAGGTCACATGGTAATTTGGTCACAGTTCGGCAGCTTGTAGTTGATATTCAGCTAGGTTCATTAAATGGTGGAGGACGGTCACTGTCGAAACGTCAGTGGGTTCGTGACCTTGACCTTGACCTTCGATGACCTTCGACGTCATATCATTGTGTTTGTCTCTTCGTCCCCATGAGGGTTCTTTCACACATTTCTGCGTCCACTTTGTGAGTCACGTGGGCATTATGCCATGTGGTTCCGATAGAGGACTAATTGCTCTGTCAAACGATAGAAGGAAATTGATCCCAATTTTTGAAATTGTCCAAGGGGTAGGAGTCCCACAGACGCTGAATACCAAATACTGTTCGGGGCCCCCACAAAGTCAATCCAGCTCTGGGCCGAGCACAAACAAAACACTAACCTAGGCAGCGTTCTGTGCCAAGTATTATGAAATTTCTAAAATATGTATCTGGAAAACAGGACCGACCAGTAATTAGTACTATCACTACACTAGTGCTATCATTAACACTAGTTACTAGTGCTACCATTAACACTAGTTACTAGTGCTATCATTACACCCATTTTGCCTTGCGAACGTATGACTGTGACAAGATCACCGTGTGCCATTTTTATTGCTCTTGTTATCATTGAGGTGCTATAAATGAAATATGATTAAATAAAAAAACATAAAGATCACCGTGTGACCGTATTACTATGACTAAATTACCGTGTGACCGTATTACTATGACTAAATTACCGTGTTACCAAATCACCGTGTGACCGTATTACTATGACTAAATTACCGTGTTACCAAATCACCGTGTGACCGTATTACTATGACTAAATTACCGTGTTACCAAATTACCGTGTGACCGTATTACTATGACTAAATTACCGTGTTACCAAATCACCGTGTGACCGTATTACTATGACTAAATTACCGTGTTACCAAATCACCGTGTGACCGTATTACTATGACTAAATTACCGTGTTACCAAATCACCGTGTGACCGTATTACTGTGACTAAATTACCGTGTTACCAAATCACCGTGTGACCGTATTACTATGACTTAATTACCGTGTTACCAAATC